ATCTCTATTTCTTATCTTTGTAGCCATTATAGTGTACTAACCACTATGAATTGAAAATGAAAGATATTAGCATTTTTGGTCATGTAAGTTCTAAATCTCTTCTATTATTCTTTTTTCCACCACAAAATGTTCATATACTAATTTCTCTTTATTTTCACACATTTTCTTAGAGATGGATGAAGTCTTAGAACAAACCGTAAGATGAGTTCCATTTCACTCAAATTCTTAATAGTTGTTTCTCATATCGTACAGTCAATTTACCTGTTAAATGCATCTTTATGTATAGCTTTAGTTGCTCAAGGAAAACAATGTTGGTGTTGTGATCTGCGACGAATGAGATCTCAATTGCATCCTAATTTTTAAGGTAGTGTCATGCCACATCAGTTTGTTTATATATTAGCTAGGGGGTGAAAGGAAATTAGGGCCTAGGCCCACCCTCAATTTTTGGAATTTTTTTATCTATACAAACATATCACTTTGTCCAATATTTTTCAAAATAGTTTTATTATGCCCACCATAATATTTTCATATAAACTATTTTCATATCAATTGGTGATTGTGCAAGCCTCACATGAGCTATTTCCTACCTTTATATGAAATGCAATGAGAAAATAACAATGTTGACCATGACTTTTTTACTAATTTTCATCGTCTTTTTCCTCATGATTCTTACCTAATGATTCCCCCTTCCCTAAACTATGAGTTATGACCACTCTTTAATTTCTTGTTTAGTGTATTTTATTGTGGTAGAGCTTTCTGAGATTGATATATTTTTTGGTATAATTTATGATTTCTTTGTTTGTACTTTTAATTTAAACGTGAAATTACTTGTAAGTGGATTACAATTAATTTTTTACTTTCAACGATTGTCCTTTATATAAACAAATATAAATTTATTATTACATTTTTATCTATTGAAAAATATTAATTAAATTTTAGACTTACAATATCTACCTTAAACTAAATTCCTGGCTCCGTCCCTAATGTTAACCTTTTTGTTTTCTATATAGTGGTTTTACTTTTCTGTGCTTATTCTCTAAAAGGCAAAAGAAATGTCAGTCGTAACTACCAATGCAAAGTCTAAACGAAAATGAACGACAATCTCTTCTAACAAGGTAATGGTAAGTACAACAAGGCAAGTGGTATTACATTGTAGTTAACTTTTTAAAATTTATTTTTTTCTAGTATTGGCAAAGTATTTATCAAAGTATGTCTGGTTTCCTTCGAAATATATGATATTTACAAAACAATATTTTCAATTCACATTTTAGGGATCCAATGGTAAATTTATATCAAAAGTTAGCTTAGCCCAATGCGGAAAAAGTGAATGGGAAGAAAAACCAAATAAAATGAGTGCTCTAAAAATCAATTAGCACAACACGCATGCCATGAACAGGAGAAAGTAAGACTAAGTACATTAATCCAACCTAGATAACATCGAGTCGACGCCCCTGTGTATTCCTAGAAGGGAAAACAAGTAAAAGATCTCACATTCACCCAGCGATCCACCCAGCGATGTCTATGTCCATGGATATTCCTTAACTTGCAGCTAAACGGACAATAACACGAAATGTTTCATGTTTGTCGTCTGTGATCCCCAACCTTCAAAGAATACCTATTCTGAACAAAGTCGCCACAACTTTAGTCGAACCAGCCTCTAGGTTTTCCAAGGGAATTCCTAAGCTTGCAGCAAAACAAACAATGCCAACATGTGTCTCTGGGTCATCGTATGTGATATTCTTCAATAGATTCCAAATCTAAATGAAGCCACCATATTGCAAGAAGAATTATGCTCCAAATGTTTGTTATAAGTTTGACTTTCGTTCTCTTATTGTTATGTAAGTTTTTAGCTTTGACATTTCAGTAAACAAAATTTGTATGTGTAAGTCAACTCCTAGGGACCAAACCTGAGAAGGAAATTTGATATGTGTAGTGTTCATGCACAAAAAAAATGTGTACGTATAAGTACAGAAGTTAATCTTTGAGCACATTGATTAGAAGTTCGTCATTCCCTTGGGAACATGATAGTACCATGTCGTTTTCGTTAAGGCTTGCATTGGATTGATTAAAGATTAAAATCATCATTTTTCACAAGTTCTTTTTTTGGAACATGTTGTTTGCAAGGAAAGATTTGGCTACCTCCCTTTCTCTTGCCCCCTCCACTATTAGAGCATTGTATGATGACAATGATGACCAATCAAAATTATTTCGCCAACATATACGGGAGTATAATACAGCTAATGCTTTTACAAGTCTTGATGCTATATTAAACTCAAGATTAACAATTAGAAGGGGGCCAACACCATGACTAAAACACCAGAAACGGGGACTACCCAAGCTAATGATAGAGGCAAGAACACTTTCCGGCCAAGTCCCATCGGATACCAGAGAAATCTTAATTTGAATCACCGCTTTTTTGACTCTTGCTCTTTCTTTAGCCGGGAGATGATCCCCCCCCCCCCAAGAAGGCGAGCTTGCTTCTTATTCCCGTGTTTGATCTCTTCCATCTCTGCCTCGCTCGTTGTCACCTATGTTGAAGAAAGGTTTTATCATTCACGAAGAATTACGTTATCGAACAAGATCATTTATACCATAACCAAGGCATGAAGCAACATACTACCAATTGTATATCTATAACATTAATTTAGCTTTAGATGTTTGTTGTTGTAGAAATCCTCATTTGAGAAGAGATGTGCTCATAACAATTCAAGACTATTTGTTTCACATAAATTCATTCCTAGCTAAATTCCAACAAGCTTATGCCATTTTAAATCAATTAGAATTGGTAGGTCAAGATTTGCTTGTTCATCTTCATTATAACACAAACAAATTAGCAATGATATAATCTCCTAATAGTAGATGAGATTTCTGTAATTTTATCGGGTGATGGAACTTATTTAAGTGGAATGAGAGACATTATTTTACGTTTGACAGGGAATAATGAGTTATGCAAATTAATAAATGTCACCCGATGTGATCAAGCTTCAAGTAATAGGCTCACTCAGTTGCAATTTTATAGTTATCGTTTATTTTAACATCCTATTAAGTACTTAACAATTTTGAGAGGAGGAAAGTTATTCAAAGAGTTTGTAGTAGATGTTTGGCCGTAACACCAATGTCTTACGAATAAGTTGGGGCTTGAACAAATTGGTCAATGCATGATTTTGCCATCATCATTCATTAGTAGTGCAAGAAATATGTTTAAGAACTTCCAAGATTCAATGACAATCACGCGGCTCACTATAATTGCAAATCCTAATTGGAATGAAATTACTTCACCTTTGTTGTTGTATCAGACCCCTCTTGATCATCCTTATTTGGTTGCACATGTTTTTGAGTTAAAAGAGACATGCTTTAGTGAAAGAGATATAAACAAAGCAAGTGTTTGGCAAAAAGGTAGCACATGTATTCACAATTGAATTCTAAAAATGGGGGCTATTGCATGCATATGCTTTTATTTTTTCATGGTGCAGACAAAATTCAAACATGTGCCTAGGTTGACAAAGTTATTTATGTGCTAAATTTCCAAATTGTAACAATGATCAATTCCTTTTGATACGATCAAGAGTTGTATGGTGCATGGACCATGTGGTATTCGAAATCTACAAACATCATGTATGAAAAATGGTATATGCACTAAGAGATATCCACGAATCTTTATAGAACCAACAAGTATAGACAAAGATGAATATTCTGTCTATCATTGTCGTAATAATGACCAAATAGGATGTTGTACCATATAATCTCTATCTTTCAAGGATATTCAATTGTCAAATTAATGTAGACATTTGTGCGGGTTTGAGATGTGTGAAATATATTCATAAGTTTATCTACAAAAGTCATAATCACACAACCATGGTGTTTAGGAGGATATCTTGATGAGATCCAAAAATATCTTGATACAAGGTATATTGTATTGGAACAGAAATCTCAAGAACCGTTATCAAAAATTTTTCTTTAAAACCCTACAAGGTAGAATTAGGGTTTATCTTTGAGATCTCTCGAGATTGATCTCATCTTAGCATGAACGCAGAATAAAATAACGACTATAGCTCGACAAACTTTGCGGCCTTCTATCTCCAAAATAGATACATAGAAGAGATCATAACTGACAGATAATTTATTTTGTTTTTAAATATATAAAGATTTGATTTAATTTTATCATTCGTTTGAATTTTAAAAATTTGTTCTTAAATCAATTCACAGTACATTCTTCAACCATTGCCTTCAAAAGTTGTTATTTCCTGTATTCTCAAGTTGTAGACTTTTTGATTCGGTTGCAAACTAGTTGAGGGTATTACGATACAGCTACAAACATGGTTTTTGATTCAGTTCCAAATATAACGACATTTAAGAATGCCGAATTCATATGGGGAGAGAGAGAGAGAGACTATGCCTTGAATACGCAAGGGAAAAAGAAAATAAAGAGATGTGGGAAAGGGACAGGGAGGGAGAAAGGGGAGAGAGAGTAACGTGAAGAGAAAGAGAATAGGGAGAGAGAGTAACAGGGAGGGAAAATAAGGGGAGAGAGAGAGTGAGTGAATAAGAATAAACGTTCAAAATTTAAATGAATGATAAAATTAAATCAAATCTTTGAATATTGGAAAACAAATAAATTATCAATCATACATGCATTATTTAATAAAGGGTAATTAAGTAATACAAGTAAAAATTAAACTCAATTATGTACCTAATAACAAGAAATTTATGTATAAAAGAACTTAATAGTGTACAAATTTGAACTCTGATCTTTCTCTCAAACCAGACTTAGAAAATGTACCTACATCCAATTTTTCCTTCCAAATACGATATTGGGTCATTTAAAGCCCAAGTGCTTTCAAACTATTGGACTAGCAGCCCACTCCCATGTCCGCCCGGACCTTTTGTTATGGATTAGCAACCCTTGGATGCAAGGAAACCCATCCAGACCGTCGAAATCTGTCGGTTTATTCGCGTAAATTGTGAGAGGTCGATGGAGAGAAACAGAAACAGTCTTCCCCCTCGGAGAAAGCTAGGGTTAACCAGAAATCAGAAGTTGGGGCTTTCGTTCCTGAGGTACGCTGTTAAAACTTAATTTATTGCACAAATTGTGTTTCTCTCTGTCTCTGTCTCTGTCTCTCTCGCGCTCAAACGCAGACTCATCTGTCTGGTGTAAATTGTATACTTATGCATGAAATGTCTGTGAAAGATTCGGTTTTTGTAGGTTTAAATCTGTGTTTTGAAGTTGAGTATTGTGGTTAGTGTGGGATAAGCTTTTGGTGACCAAGCGATTCATTTTGTATTCGGGTATAGGATGATTTTAATGGCGAGCCATGGTTGTTAGCTTCTCATGGGTAGGAGTGTGATAAAAGTTTAAATGCGTTAAAAGTTAATGGCCATCTAGAAAAAAATTACAAATCGTTGAATGTTCCATGTGTTTGTCTATGGAACTCTTTATTCACCTGTCCACCCTCAATTAACACAGAAAAATTTGTTAAATTATTCCATTTATTTTATTTATGTTTTTCGAAAATTATGATCACAAATATAATTAGGACTTATTGCATATACGAATGATTTACCAAGAAAAAATAAAGGAACATGGTGTTGTAGCCTGAGAGCATTCAAAGAGGGTTATTGAAAGAATGAATTCTTTATGAGATCAGGAGTCTTAAGCTGAGGTGGTGCATGAGATGACTTTAAAAAGAGTCTTAAGCACTGTGGTGTTTGGACAAATTTATAAGTACTTTGAACTGACGTACGTACCATTTGGCAGCACATCTTGAAAGTATATTTGTTGTTTTTTGCTTTTTTAAGGACTTTTCTAAAGTAGCAGTCGTTCTTGCATTTTTGCTCTTTTTATTTTTTTCCTTGCCAGAGTTTACTCACTTCTTCTAATCATAATCACACATAAAAATATTCAATGCACACATATATAATTTATGTACTAAAATGCATGTAGATCATTTTTGTAAAATAGTAATTAGACTTACTTTATTTGTCTTGGCCAAATTATTTTTTTGCTTAAAGAAGCTGCTTAAGTTTCCTTCTTCTTCTTTTCTGATAGTAATCCGGGTTGAGGAATTGAAATAGACGAAAGTTGTAGTGAATTGATTATTTGATATGATTAGTGTCAAACCTTGGATTTGCAAAATGGGATATATTAGCGGTAATGGCAAAAGAAAGTAGCTGATTTGATTGGTTGTCCTCCAGATGCTTTAAAGGTTGAATTTTTAGACTCTCCTGATCAAGAAAATGGAGGAAGTTTAATCGATTTGGCTTAATCATATCATTCAGCTCTATTCTGAGATGCTATAGGATCATTGTTGGCTATCCGTTTGTTGATTTTCACCTTTGCAGAAGTACATAGTGCTGAGATAGATGTTGTAGAGCTTCTCGATTGGTATTTACATTGAAGAGGGTCTGTGGGAAATTTTGGAAACACAAGGCTGTTTAGCTGACAAAATCTGAATGGGTACTAGCAATTCATCTTGCTGACCTAAAACACGTCTAGTTGACTGCAAAGTGTATTTTTGAGTATAGAGCAATGCTATAGGGACCTAATTCAATATAGTCATTGGATTAGTTGTAAGTTTCGATGTTCAATGGAGCCCACTTTCAATCCAATTGTTGCTTTGAATTATGTTACATGATTAGGCTCCCAAATAGCATTTTCCTTGAGGATATAGATGGCAGGAAGTAAGCACCACTTGATTTTTATATTGGGGGATTCCAAATCATTGTGATGTGGATAACTGTGATAGTGTGATGTCTTACATGAGTCTTCATCAATACTTGACAAGATTTCCACAGTGAAAGCTGGTAGTTTGGATGACTATGCCTATGGGTTGATCAGGGGGTGGAAGTGTGAAAGCTATAGGTGATGGTTAAGTGGAACAATTACATGGCAACTGATCTGATGTCTTTCTAAACCTGTCTTTAATGTTTGATCATTCATTAAAGTAAATGTCATTTGGCATAACGGCTTAGAAGTTAATCATCTGTTTGTGATACTTTTTCTAAAGTCAATCAACCTGAGACGTGATGACTTTTCAATCAATTTGCTGATTGGCTATTGTAAATTAATCATTGTGATAATTGATGAAAAAATTTTCTCAACCAAACAAGTGATTGAATTATCAAAATGGATCTTTCTGCTAACAGAATAGTTAATCACTGCAGTTCAAAAATGCCTCGTTATGATGATAGATATGGCAATACGCGCCTTTACGTTGGTCACTTGTCTTCAAGGACGCGATCGCGTGATTTGGAGCATGTCTTCAGCAGATATGGAAGGTAATCAAATGTTTGTGTAGCATCAATTTCTTTTGTTATTTGAAATTTCAAGCCGTGCTATTCGTTGTGAGTAGTGCTGAACATTTTTTGTGGAAGACAAACCAACTGTGCAAGCTCAGTTGCACTAATGTCTTACTTTTCATGGTTATTCTGTTAGATTCCATGTCCATTACTGGAACATAGGAAATGTAGGGGAAATGAGAAAATCTGAAAATCCTTTTATTTGTGCAAGTCATATCATTGTATTTCAGCAGAAGACATTGTGTATGAAGGTGAATTTTTTGTTAAGTAAATTGGAAAAAGGCTTCTTTTGAACTTGTTGATGAAGAAAAATAAAGTTTTTTATCCACTTTGGGAAAATGAATTTGGTGATCGAACCTGATCATGTGTACTATCCATCGAGAGCACATAGTCTTGTCTTTTAAATTCAAGATTGTTGTTAGCTGCATGGTAATGTAAACTGCATGGTTTTAAACGTCTTTGTTGTAATTTATTAAGACATTTTTTGGCTTTTATATTTATAATCTAGTACATCACACACAATGATATGTATCATGTATGTCGTCAATCATTATGGGGTGTGGGGTACGTCTCCCGTTTACACTTAGGGAGACTTATGGTTTGTGTGCCAAGCATGTTATGTGCTTAGGCTACGTTATTCATCATGTTATCTGTGAAGGAACATTGTGGCCCCGGGTGTCTGTGTTTGCTTAACTTGAATGATCTTGTTGAAGGTTTCTGGGCTTTTGCCTGGCCTGGAGGTCAATGGTGAGAGGGTGCCCTTGGTGGAATTGGTGGAAATTCTTGCCGAGTGTTAGGAGACTCTGACGATTCTTTCTGTAATGTTTATGCGTGTTGTTGTGGAATTGGCAACAATCTCAAACTGGTGTTTAGTTCGTTTTGTGAGGCGATATGTCATGCACTTCCAGTACTTAAGTAATGATGGCCTTATTGTTTCTGGCAACCGTTTCCGCAGAGTACGAGATGTGGATATGAAGCGCGACTATGCCTTTGTTGTATGTATCATATCTTTTTTGTTTTTGTTTACTTACCTATGAATGCACTTGGAGATATTATTTTAAATTTTCTTTAGCGAACTAGGTTTTGCAATTATGGGGTTCCCTTTGTGTTGGTTTTTGCTTCTCAACTTCTATTCACAGGAATTTAGTGATCCTCGTGATGCTGATGACGCAAGATATAGCTTAAATGGTCGAGATTTCGATGGAAGTCGTATTATTGTGGAATTTGCAAAGGGAGTAAGTACTGTAAACCTCTAGCTTTTGCTGTTGAAAGTCGTTGCATGTCTTAGTGTGAATTGGATGAGGGTTGCTCCTCATGCTGAAAGTTTTTATTTGTGCTCTTTTGCATTGGATCTTCTGGATGCCCTGTCTGTCTTTCTTTTTTGTTTTGTTATGTTTCGTGTAGGTTATTTTTTTAACTTTTATGTTGCTCGAGGGGGTGGTGGATGGAGCATTATTGGTTTTGGGGGTTGTTGGGCAGCAGCGTCAAGGTTTTCTTGCTACAGATGGGTTTTTAATTTTTTATATGGAACGTGGTCCATATTTTTCCATCTTTTATGACTGTTGAGGGAATTTGTATCCCACCTATTGTCAATTGATTTTGGGTTGAATGCTCTAACATGATATCAGAATTGAGTCTTGGGTGGTTGGTGGACTAGGTCTCTTACCCATTTTAGTTTTTCGTTATGGTTTGTTTGTTGACCCCACTTGTGAACCTGGATCCCATGTGAGAGAGTGTTTTAATAGAGCTTCTATTTTATATTGAATAATTAGGATCACCTTTTTTGTTTATATACTTGGGGGCCACTACGCCCATTACGAATTAGTTTTGGGTTGGATGCTCTAACAGTGATATAATTTTGTGTTCTGTATCTTCATTAGTGTTGATATAATCTTGTTAATGTTGCATCAAAATTTCTAATTTGGCTTCTTGGAGATGGGTTGGGGTGGATGGTTGAACTGTTGAATCAGGGCTGGATCTTGATGTTTGGCCAAACTATCTTCCCCCTTGAAATCAGTCCTTTATACGCTCAGGGGGACCCTGTTCTATTTCCTCTGAATGGTGGAAGGTCCATCAGTTTTTTGTTTCCATTCTTATAACATATGGTCCTCTCCATTATTATCTTGTTCAAGAAAAATTCCTGTTCATCCTTGTAATCTGTCTTTTAATGATGTGATTTGCATGTGCTTGGCTGTAGGAGCCACGTGGAGCTGGTGGTTCTCGAGAATATCTGGGCAAGGGTCCTGCTCCTGGGTCTGGACGGTGCTTCAATTGCGGCATTGATGGTCATTGGGCCCGAGATTGCAAAGCCGGGGACTGGAAGAACAAGTGTTATCGATGTGGAGAAAGAGGTCATATAGAAAGAAACTGCCAGAACAGTCCCAAGAAGCTCAGGTACTTTGAGGATTACACTGTTTTGGTTATCTCATCCCCTTCTTGTATGTGCTGTGGAAGCACTGTTCAGTAGTTTGCCATCTCTTCAAAATTAATTTATGAATTCTGACAATAATCATCCTCCAGTCGACGTGATCGGAGTTACTCACGGTCACCAGTGAGATCACGTTCTCCTCACCGCAGAAGGAGCCATAGTCGAGGTTATAGCCGAAGTCGTAGCTACAGGTTAGTTACTTTTTGTCAGTTGTTTAGCAGTTTTGATTCTTGATTGTCCTTGCGTTTTATGTTTGGTTTTATTGTCAATCATTGAATTTGCTGTCCAATGATGATACACTTAAATGTTGTCTTATAGTGACCAGTTAATGAATTGTGTGAGCTGTTCATGGGAAACCTATTTTCTTACAGTGGGACTGTTCTTAACCCACAAATATCCATTCCCACCCGGTCAAATCACCAAATATAAAATTAGTAAATCTACCCCATTCTTTTCCCACCCCATGAGGACTAATCCCTCCCCATTTTATATCAATCCCATTAGCAGCTAATCTCATCCTAATCTACACACATTACACTCCCAACTCAACTCAACAAGGTCTCGGCTCATCAACGTTTTTGGGGTCGTATGCATGAATCCTCTTTCACCATTGTGCTCTTTCGGGGCCTCCACACGCGTTACACTAACATTACTAAATTTATTATTTCCATTTCTATACATATTTACCATAGGAGGTCGTATCAACATTAGTTAAGCATCATCAAATTTAACATGGCAAAATCCCAATGGGTTTAATCTGAAGCAAGAATCAGACCATTTTGTTACATGTTGACATACAGTCATCAAAATTCATAAACGGTGAATTGGAAAATCAGTTATTAAAGACAACCATGTAAGCTACAATTATCTTATCAAAGACAACCATGTAAAGCTACAATTATGGGTGTTGGAATTTAATAAGGAGAAGCTTGTTCTTGCTATAAGTTAGTTTTGAAAGCATTGATCTAGCCATGGAACTTTAAATCAACATTACTAAGGCATCATCAAATTAAACATGGAGAGGTGATCACATGGCTAATCTGAAGTATAGTTGTCAAATCGTGTATGGAAAAGAGTATTCTTTTTCAAAAATCGTGTATCGTAAGATACGCGCAATTTAATTTTTAAATAATTATTAATAAAATATATATATACACCTTTGTAAAAAAAACATAGATTCATAATAATATAGCATTTTATTAATATTTCACAAACTATTCAAGTTCCCAACATAATTCAGTAATATCAAAATGTAAAGATATCTAATTTAAACTTTTAACACCAACTACTTGAACAAATTTAATATTATTCAGGAATTTTGAACTCAATTGAATAACATTAACAACATACTTTATTTTATTTTTTTAAACTACAACCACTAAAATGACGTTGTTTCACTGGCTAGTGATTTAAAAATAATTCATAGGATAAAACTATGTCATTTCAATCCCAAAAAATAAAAAAAAAATCATGTCGTACGTATCATATCGTATCGTATATCGTACAATACAGAGACACAGTACATATCGTTTTTTAGGTGTATCGTGACATATCGTACGATACGTATCGCGTATTGTACGATACTAATAACTATGATCTAAAGAAAGAATTAAATCAATATATTTCATATTATTATACAGTCGTCAAAGTTCATGCACTTATAACTTAGAAAATCATTTTACCAAAGAGACATGTAAACTAAGCTTATGGGTTATAAATTTTTAATGAGAAAAAGTTTGTTCTAGGTAGAAGCTAGTTTTGGAAGTGTTGATCTAGCCATGAAAGTTTATTGCTTAGTACAAACCAGAAGAGAAGATTCTCTTTTGTTTGTATGGAATAAAATGTTTAATATATTAACTGGGCGAGTTTAAATTGGGGGGTATGATTTAACAACATTAATGGGATGGAAAAAGAATGGGTGGACTTTGTAGTTTTGTGCCTAGAAGTTTAATGGGGGTGGGGATGGAGATTTGTGGTGTGGGAATAGCCCCATCCATTTTCTTATCTTATTAGACAAATGGCTGGTGGTTATTTGTTGCATATATGTTGAAAAGGTTGTAAGAAAACTGTATTCTCCCATACTTGTTATTGCAGACATGCACATTAACATACATACGGAATTTCTTTTTTATATGAAAAGGCCTAACCTTATTTTTTTAGTTAATTGTTAACTGGATTCTCTGTTTTATCGGCAGTCGATCGAGATCCCCTCCAAGGAGGGAGAAAATTATTGAGCGTGAAGAGAAGAGATCAAGGAGCCTTCGCTACAGTAGAAGCCCCAAGCAGGACAAGGGTTCTCCACCCCCCTCCAAGTCAAGGAAGCGCAGTCCAACACCTGATGATGGTAGCCCAATGGAGAGAGAGAGCCCTATTATTAAGAAAGAGAGACAGGTAAGCGAGCAGGACGATTCAGTCCACAGTCAGAGCCCTAGGGGGAAGGACAGAAGTTCTGTGAGCCCTGAAAGGGATAGCCCTGCTGGTAGGACGTCTGATAGCCCTTATGAGGCTAATGGTCAAAGCCGCAGCCCTAGTCCTAGACATGACAGGAGCCCCATTGATGACAGGAGCCCTCTTGTTGATGAGGATAATCGTCTCACCCCTAGAGGCAGCGAATCCCCTTAAATGGTTTGAATTGGTGAGGTCTCTGTTCAAATTTGGCATATACAACGAATCCATTAGCGTGTCCTATTTTTCCTAAGTATATCATTGCTGGACTTTGTTTAGACATGATAAAATACTTTTGATTTCAGAAGAGTGAGCATGAGTTTGAATTGTACGCTGAGAAATTGTCCTCTAGTTCTTCTTATATTGATCTTCGTTTAGTTTCTATATCGTTTGCCTATAGTGTCCTCGTGCTCAATTTACTCGTGGTTGCAGTGATACATAGGTGCAAGAAGTCTTGGCAGTTGATTGAATTTGTACTGTGGCAGCTTATAATTTTGGGTAATGAGTTGAATGAAGGATGATACTTTCATAAGGAGTGGAAGCATATGTCAATGTGATTGGGAATTGCTTCTCACCAGTTTCTCTCATGAATCATGATAGTTAACTGGAGGATGAGAATTAGCAAGTCACTAGGGGAGTTCATAGCTTGTCTGACCATAGATACTCGATTGTGCCTTTGTTGGAATTGGCAGTGCATGATGTGTGTTACTCATTAGTTAATGGGGATACGGATTTTTTTAATAGTTTTTTGTCAATTTTTGTTTAATGAAAGATTATTCGTCGTGTATTATTGGGACAACCACTATGTAGGGTGGGTCCGACTTTGGGTTGAGAGAATTAGGTATTTTAATCAGCTAGTGAAAATAAAGGAGAACAAAAACTATGAGGGGCCTTTGGGTGGAAAATTCTAAGCTTAAACAATCTATGCGTGGTTAAAATTGTATTTCTCAAATTTGTTTATTAAATATTGTATTTCAAATTATGTATTAATATTTTATTCATTGGATATTTGGTGGAAATTAGTAGGCGTTACTGATACAATCAGTTATACTGATTTGGGGTATAAATTTTAATAAATAATTTGATAAGTATAACATTATTTTATATGGGCGTCTCAAATGAACATAGTTACTCTTTTTTTTTTTTTTGTTGGTTTAATAATAAAGGGTGTTTGAGCTAACTTATGCCAAAGGTAAGTCATTTATGTCAGGGTTAGGGTTATTATGAGAGATAAATTTTTTTCACCTTAATTTCAAGAAGTTGATTCGAATTCAAAATATCTGAATTTATTGTTTGTTAGGTATGTATTTCGATGAGAACAAAGTTATTCGAATTCGGTCAGGTATGCACTTCAAGATCTGTTCGAGGTTAATACCCGAATCTGTTTGATAAGATAATTAGCAGCTGAAAATTGTAAAACAAAAGTTAATCTACTAAAGATGGGTAGCGAGCGAGCATAGTAGGACCAAGGAAAAATCCATTATCTCTTTCTTTCTGGCAATTGGCCTTTTTCGAGATCATTTATGACTCCATTAACTTCTTGATTTATAAAATTAAAAAAGTATTTCTTAAATAAAAAATTTATAAAAAAAATATTTTTGTTAAATAAACATCGTTTAAATATTTACGTAAAATGATAAAACCGTATTGCCCAAATTTGTTTATCAAATCTTATATTTCAAATGATGTGTCAAAATCCTATGTATTGAATGTTTGATAGAGTTAGTAGACCTCACTCATCCAACCACCTACACTGATTTGGAATATAAAATTTGCTAAATAAAAATATACTCAAATAAAATATTTTTTATCAAAAAATATGTTTAAATTATTAATTAAAAAATACTTATATATGTCTTAATTTTTAATATATCTCTAAAACATATATTAAAATAAAGTGATGGGGGTGAGCGGCTAGCTGCTATGGTGGTGGGGTGGCAATGGACGGTGGCGGTGATCAGATGATGGTGATAATGATAATAAATATAAGAATGATAAGTATTTTACAAAAAAATAATTTTTCAAAAATTGAAGTTATTTTTTTTACTTTTACTTAATTAATTATTTAAGTGTTAAAACTGTTTTTGACTTATTAAGAAGTAAATAAAACAAGTTATTTCAAACCGTTTTTTTTATTCAAAGTGTTTTTAAGTAGTTATAAGCTATACAAATACTTTTTTAAAATCATCCCAAATACACATTAGTTAAACGAGTCGGCGGGATATGTTTGCTCCGGGATAAAGTTATGGTGATAAAAATAAATTTGAATTATTTATAACCATTTGATCATCAAAATAATAAAATAAAATAATGAAATAGTAAGTTTTCGCATATTTTGTATTGTAATTGGAAAATGCTGCAAATGGACTTTAAAAAAAGGTAAATATTATAATTGGTCTTTGAATTTATGAGTAAGGCTTATGACCGGATGGAATGATCTTTCTTGTAGTCTGTTATGCATAAGTTGGGATTTGCTAATGCTTGGATTGAATTGATTGTGTGATGTGTGAAATTAGTGTCTTTTCTTTTATCATCAATGGTGAGTAAATGGGGTTTATTAAGCCTCAACGGGGAATACGACAAGGTGATCCCCTTTCGCCTTGTCTCGTTCTTCTTTGCATCGAAGGTTTGTCGGCTATATTCAAGAAGGCTGAAGATAATTCTCAATTACAAGGTTTCTCTATTAGAAGAAAATGTCCATCCTTCTTGCATTTATTTTTTGCAAATGATAGTTTATTTTTTGCTAAAGCAACAAAGGAGAATGCACTATATATTAAAGGCTGCCTTGAAGCTTACGAACAACTATGGGTAAAAGTATCAATATTAACAAATCTGTTGTGGAGTTTAGTAGAAATGTGGGAAGTGATATAAAGGAGGTTATCACCGATGTTCTCCAAATTCTAGTCGTAATGGGACTGCCCTCTGTAGTGCATTCTAGTGTTTGATTATAAAAATGTCACCTTATAACAATTAACTGTCATGCTATTGGAAAGTTAACTGGTGGGTTCAATTAATGATGATGATTGATTTAAGTTTGGCCCCCTTCAAAGCACAAAACCTCTCTAGGCTCATGCGAGCAACCCAAGCGTCTTATCCAGATAGCATTCATTGGGCCCGAGCTGGGCCATAATTCAATTCAATAGAAGTCCACAATAATCCAGCTCAGAATAGATAGTAGCTCGACATCGGCAAGCTCGGTACAAATACCCAACCAAAAATTGGGAGCTCGGCACCAAGCAATTCACCAATAGCCATATCGCGAAATGTGAATAGAAGACAAGGGGACAGTACTTGACAATCTTAACGAACGAGTATTCACCGGTAGTGGAGATGACTCACATATTCCGTTCAAGGTATAGTGGCCGCAGAAAAGTGTTATGGATGACAGACCCAACAACATGACAAACTAGGAGGGGACCACAGAATTAGCCAAGAAAGGAATCATCACGAAACCCTAAAGACAGGATGTGTAAATAGGAAACGATGCCATTGTGTAAAGATAGATGAACAAAAAAGATCATATAGCAATAACAACCTAGGCAATGCTCTGTAAAAAGCTTCCAACCAAGTCTATTGTACTAACAATCTTCTTCCCCAAGTAATAAAATTTCTCAAGGAGCAAGAATCTCACTTACAGTGGATGTAACTTCAATCCTTTGGCTAATGTAAACCACTCATATTATTGTCTTTGCCTCACCTTCAACACTTAGCACGTTTTCTGTCATGTAGGTACATTTTCATTCCCTTTGGGCCCGCCCCAGATTACTCTATAATTGGGTCAGTTGTTTTTGAGCCATCGCTAGTAAATCCAAAGGTGAACCATTCAAAAGGTTTACTATACCTAATTGGATCGGCAGGTCTATAATTCAATAAAGATGGAGTTCTGGTTTATGCATTGAATCACAAGTATTGGCTATGACAAAACTTAACTCATCTATAATCAATCTCTCGATTATTACATAAATCTCAATTACGTGTATTATTGTATCATACATGAAATATATAATAACGTATAGATGAAATGGTATATAGCAATAAGTTTAGCTTGATACTCATAATCATGAGTGCTTCAATTTTAATATTATAAACCCAAGAGCAGGTTAAACGAATTAATATAATTCTCGAAAAACTGAGGTCGAACTCTCAAGGAATTACAACAAGAAAGCAATCACACAAATATTTAAACAAACTTAAAAATAAATGATTTGTTTAGGGAATTGTTGAGTGGAGAAAATTGATTTAAATAATTAAAATAGTAATATAAAAAAAATATTGGAGTATTAGATACTTCCTCTCAATTTCATACAATAATAATTAAAGACTCAAATCTTAACTTGAGACAAGAATCAGATGTCGGTTGATTTGAGTAACAAATCCAGTAAGAAAACTAAAAGTTATAATCAAAAGATTATTCAGTAACCTGAATAATCATCCAATTATATTATTTTATGAAATAATGATAATTACCTCAAGCGTGGAATAACCAGTTATTTACTCGTAGGGAAATTCAAGCAATCGATGTACATGACACAATGACTCAAGGATTTTTACAGAGCAAAAATTTTGCTAATAGATCAGAAGTTAAATTAACAAAATATCATAAATCATTAAATTCAAAATTAATAACATTACCGTACTTCATTGAGAGGTTCTCCCCTATCCCTAGCTTAACCTTTTAGCGAAACATGACGAACTAAAATCAAAATAAAAAATGGGAAAAAGAATAATAATAATCTCTCAATGAGAACCCCTCTTTATACTAAAAATAAATCTTAAGTATAGGTAGAAGATATAAGGTTGGCTTGGAAGAAATTCTTTTTCAAAAAGAAGTCTTGTAAGGTTAAATCCCGGGTATAAAATCTTTGGGGCGCGAGTACAAAATTTGTTCAGACTTCGATCTTGAATTTCGCATATTTAGAGGTTGAACCACGAAAAGTTTGTGAAATACACTTTTGTAGCCCTTGAAGTCTTATTTTCAATCCCCAAAAATCAAGTAAATCGAATATCAGAGTCAAAAGTTATAACTAAAATCTTGAAGACGTGTCACATCTTTATCTTCTAAGATACTTTCCTAATCCAACTCTAAATGAGTTTTCTTCCAACTTGAACTCTTATAAGGATTAAATTGTTGTCATATCTTGAAGTCTTCTTATTTCAATCTTGACTCTTCAATCTTTATCAATTGTGATTCTTCCACTTGTGATTGCTTTATTTGCATTATCTATTATTATTTTAAATCAACCAATTTACCTGAAAAAAAAAAAACCAAACAACTAGAAAAAGTATCAAACTAAAAAATCAAAGAATTTATCAAATTTAATTACAAATAATATGCAATTAATCAATCATTAAATATAATAAAATAGTCATTTTGATGGTTAATCACACCCCTAACCTAAATATTACTAGTCCCTAGTAATACATAGATCCTAAAATCTAATAACTAAAAAAAAAAATATCTTAATAAAATAAAACACAAATTCATTTTCGTAAATTTCATGATTGAATTTAGCATATGCAACAAGCCTTTAAACCCTTAGGTTCCCCCTAGTGGACGAGTATAGTCTCGTGAGAGTTTCTAGAGATGATACCCACAAACATCACTATGTGGTTAAATATCTGAATAATAATTTTATAATACAAATTGCTACCACAATATAAAAATTCTGAGCTACAAGCCTTTTTATAAGCACATGCAAAGCAAAAAATAGAATTTTACGCTATATAAATGTATGCACTTATCATGTTTCCATATAAACTCGTGTGTAGTATAAATTAACTATATCAAGTTAGTAATTTATCCGGTAATCACCTCTATAACCATCAACTATTCGTCTCAATGTCAAATATCATTAGATAATTCATTCATAAAAGATTCTCTCAGATTATAGTGACTATTCTCTCTAATATCATATG